ACATTCTCTTTTCCTCTCGCCTCCTCATCTCGTCACCGCTGTCTCTCTCTCTCTCTCTCTCTCTTTCTCCCGCCTCTAATCCCTCTTCTCCTATTTCTCCTCCCCCCTACCGCTTCGCATAGCTGACCGGAGTTGTCGAAATCGTCGGGTTCTGGTGCCGGCAGTGGAGGGGACAATGAATGTGCTTGAGGCAGCTAGGTCTTGCGGGGCCCGCAGGGTCGTGGTGATGTCATCGATATCGGCAAAGGTGCCGAATCCTGGATGGGAGAAGGGGAGGGTCATGAATGAGGAGTACTGGGCTGGTCTTGATTACTGCGAGGAGAGAGAGGTTAAGATTTTTAATCTAAAAGCTGCCATTTTTTTAATCTCTCCTTCAGTTTTTTATTTAGAATTTGTGTTTAGCTGTTTGGAAATTGGAAATTTAGTCTTTTTTAATAGAAATTTAGTCATTTTCAACTGCGTATAAATCAATAACTAGTTTTAGGCCCGTGCGATGCACAGATTTGTTTAATATAACAGAAATTGATGTAGCAAAAGAATACAAACAGTTCAAACAGTTTACGAAACGTCTTGTTTGGAAAATTGAAAAGGCAGAGAGAGTTAGTTCAAATCTCAAGGAGAACTTATTATTTTTTATTTTTTATTTCAAATTTAATATGGAGAGCTTTTGTAGAAACTTGACAAGTGTCACTTGCAAGAAGATAGCAATTGATATGTTTGCCAAGTGTTGTTTAAAATGGTATGGGCCATTTTTGCCAAGTGGCATTTTTGCCAAGTGGCGAATTGAAGGGTAACAACTTTTAGTAATAGTATATAGATTCTGAATGTTTGGTTAAAAAAATCAATTTGGCAACTTCATCTCCCAAAACAAAGTAACTGTAGATACTAAACTAAGATAATCTGAGAGAATCAAACAATTAAATATATAAATATTCTTATCTGTTTCATTTAATAAACTCATACCAAAAGACATTTGATTGTTATTAGATGATCTTACAAATCAAATTTGAACAACTAATTAGATGTATAGTAACCAAAGTATTTGATAATCATTCAATCAACTTCTACCCATATATCATAGTAGTGATGTATAAATGTAGATGTGATCTTGTTGGAGGCTATTCATTTTTGTCATCTTTAAACTCTAATGCAAATTCTTCATCATTAACCAAGCATTTTACTTTGTTCATACAAATTTTCCTATCTCCCCAGTGGAATTTTTGCATATAGTCACAATACTTTTGGGAATATGCTTCGTTAGACTTCTTTACCTTGTCAGCTCCATGTAGAGCTATCATGATCATCTTTTCCCTTTGTTTAGATTTTGCAGATCATTTATTACTCCTCGATTGCATGGGGAGGGTTGAAAGGTAGTCATAGATTCACAAGTATTTACTGGATCCATATTTTGCATACTCTCTTTGTTGATTTCTGATGATACCTGAGAATGAGGAAGGCTACTGCTTATATAGTCATATTATGAGAATTTACTTAGGCCGCGTTTGGGAAATGAGATTTGAATTTGAGATAAAGATTTGAAATCTCATGATTTCAAATCTAAAATTTAAAATCCATAGATTTACAAATCACTTGTTTGGATATAGTTTTTAAATAAAAGAATTTCAAATCCCTTGATTTCAAATCTATTGTTTGCATACACATGATTGTCAAATTTATTGATCACAAATTCAAAGCGCCTCACAAACAAAGTAATCATTTAAGCTTAGAAGGATCCCCAAACTAGCTCTTAAGTGTGAATGAGAGAATGATACCACATTCAAATGAAGGCATTACTGTGAGCTTGTATTATTGCATGCTTTTATAACCGTTAATAACTCGATCCTCAAAGCGAGAATGTTAAATGTGGAACCAAAAGAGACTTCCGAATGGAGATTGAAATTATGTCATTTTAGCTTCTTCAAAGATATAGAGATATGATGCTAGCAAATGCATCAAACAAGAACATTCTAAATTCTAACAAGTAAATCACATAAAACTCTAGAAAGTAGACTATTGCAAAGTTATAACTAAAGTAACATAATAACTTTGCTAGAAGTCTACAATAGGAACAAAATGTTTCACAACTCAGCCACAAGCTTGAAAGTATTAACCTAGGAAAAGTCTTCAGGAAATGTACGACTAACATCAAAATATCATAAATTCACTCAAAATTTCAAGCATAAAGTCCAAATCATCTTTTAAGCAGCTTTGTCAGCTAGGATTCTCTCTGTAATTTTGATTTTCGCCCGAGACTTAGAACTCATGATTCCTTGACCCACTTCTTACGAATCTCATCAAACTTTCATTGAAATTCACCTACAGTGAAGTAAATGAAGCAATCATTAGACCAGAATATACACAATATCAAACTTATGCTTACATCAAAAGTATACTTACTTTTATTAGGATAATTTAAACTTAAACATCCCAATGTATTTTCCCAGAAAATACCACAAAGATGAGCAAAATTTTGCTTCGATATTCCTAAAAATTTCTTGCCAAAGATACCCTAACATACGAAGAACATAACTTTGGCACCCAAAAATTCAAAAAAAATTGAACTTTGATGCCCAAAGTTGAACAAAATTTAACTTCGACATCCGAACTTAATTTTTTGCTAAAGTTAAGGGTATAAAGGTTAAACTGTATTGAACTTTGGGGGTACTTTCTAAACAAACAAACTTTTGGGTATTAAAGTTGGAAAAGAGGCAAACTCTGGGGAATATTTTGGGCAAAACTCCCTTCGGTTTACCAAGTTTAGCATAGAGTGAACTTTAGGGTATTTAATTGAAAATAACCCTTTTTATTATAAATCTAAAGAACTACCCTCAATTCCAGAACTGAGTCGATGCCACTGCATCTATCTACTTTTAAATCTGATCTACTTCAAAGTTTGCAAACTTGTACTTAATTTGGACTCTGTGAGCTATCAAATTCCTAATGAGAGCATATCATTCTACGGAGTTCCCAGATAAAAACCAAAATCCTTATTTTAAGACCCGTAGCAAAGTCATGAGCAGAGTTGCTCCATAGGGTTAGCCACAAATCCATTGCTTACCACCTATGAAAAATTATCTATAAAAAATTATTAATTAAAGAACATGTACATACTTTCCAATATTAGCATCATTGTCCAAGTCATGGGTGTTGTATTTGCTATAATTGTACTCGATATTGACTTTAAATTATACCGTCAAGCCTCATATAAATGTAATAAAACTACACACGCATGCTATTTCCTGCTATGTGAATACTTGCTTAATCCTTTCAATATCGAGTTTGAATTATACTCCCCTATTAACTAATTTGGATCATATGACATCAGTGTGTCCAAAGCTTCAACATGATAAACTATATAGTCTATCAAGCTGGCATTGTGCATAGAAAGATCCAAAGTTGCAGACATAATCACTTGAAATTCATTTACCAACAAAATTTAGCAAACATGGTAAATAAAGAATCAGAACAATAACATCCAATTACCCGCATTGTGATAGTTATGCTCCTTGAGACAAGGGAGTGAGCTGAAAAAGTTCCCAAATGCACCTGCAATCATCAAAAGAAAGAAACAAGGGGTAAAAAGATCATCGAGTTTTTAAATCGATTCATCAAAATCTGTGTTTCACATATCTAATCGTACGTGGCAACATAAGCCTGGAGCAAGTGATCTATGTGGAATGTAGCTACCACCAACAAGGACCAAAGTCTAGCAGCAATAAAAACTAAATTTTTTTCATCATAACCAGGTGTGTAACAAAGACTGGGGAGTTTCTCTTTACATTCTCATAAAACTTGAAGATACTAAAATATTATCAGAAGATATGTTATTTCCTAAAAAATTCAATCAGAGACGCACTCCATGGTATTGTAACTCTATCAAAGTTAATCTAGCAAACAAAATAAACTTTAAAAAAAGGACAACAAAAGAAATTAACAAAAATATGAAAAAAAAAGTTCATCTTTCCATCAACATGAACATGGATGTCAAAGTGAAAGAGGATCAAACAAAATGATGAAAACATAATATTTTCCATAGTGATAAGAACTTGCAACTAACTTAGAGATCAAGGATCTCAATAGCTCCCTCAATCTAGGGTTTTTGTTTGATAAGAAATCAGAGAGAGAGAGAGAGAGAGAGAGAGAGAGATGAAAATGCAATGTTCAGGGAGAGGCGCCGGTGACGGGCTGCTAGGGGTAGCGACGGAACGGAGACGAGACAATGCTAGGGGTAGGAGGCAAGGGGTGGCCGGCATTGACAGGGCGATGTTCAAGATGAGGTGCCGACGATGGACGGAGATAGGCGATAATAGGTTGAGAGGGGCGGCGACGGGCACCGCTAGGGTTAGCGGAGAGGAAAGTCGATGATTTGGGGAGAGTCGGGAGATGAAAGAGTAATCACGATCGGATTTGGTGGAGAGTGAATTTCACAAATCACAGGCATTAGGTTGAGATTTGAAATCCTGATTATTGGGCTGTCAAATCCACTCTTGCAAAATGCATTGATTTCAAATTCGCCCCAAATTGAAGTCCAAACATAAGATTTGGATTTGAGCTGCACTGGATTAGAAATTTCAAACCCAAATCCATGTTCCCAAACACTCCCTTAAGGATTTGTTTCCTAGTTGGATATCCACCAAGTATATATGATATAAACATAGTATTCAGGGGCAATAACATTCTTTGTTTAACAAATCTTTCTATTTATAATATGAACACATAACTACAAACTTTTAAAGGTACAACATTTAGATTATATTTTGTGTAAAGATTCCATCTCTTGAATCCTACAATAGTTAATATGTTTTTTTTTAATTTGATAGTGGTTACTAGCGAGTTGAATTGTTAGTGTGGAAAGATGGAAGTTTTGCTACACGTAAAAAAAAAAAAACCATTTGTTCTGAAAACTAACAGGATGATTAACATAATTTCAGTGCAGCAACCAAAATCAACCAAATGAATAAAATCAACAGCTTTCCCTGATCTCGTCCTCTACTGAAGTTATCTTAAGGATGTAGCAATTACTTATTCTTTGAACATAGAGCTGCTAATCTCAACATTCGAATTCAACTGTATTCATGGACTTGTCTTTTTTCGTAACTACTTTAAACTTTGACCCTTAAAGCCTGTTGCTCTCATTTCCTTCTTATATTTTCGTTTCATCCTCCACCATAACATTAAATTTATGCCTCCTCATTAACACTTTTCCCTTCACAATCCTTTTTGTATGCATTATCAGATATTGATACCATTTGTGAAATATATGGAAGGCTGAAGATGAATTAGCTTAATAGAAGATCCAACCCTGGATATTGAATAGATTTTAAGAATATACTATAAAGATACTTCTTTTTCCCATATCATGCTATTTAGTATGCATATTCGGCTTTTCTGGAAGTTAAACTAGCCAAATTAACCCAAAAGCTTAAGTTGTTCGACATATATCCGAACTTTCTACTGAAATTAATTATTCTTTAATCTCTAATTTGAGACTATACTCCCACATGAATCCCACGGAAAAGGTATCCAGTGTCAAAGACATCAGCCGAAAAAATAGCATGGGAATATGCAGAGAAGTATAACATGGACATCGTCGTCATCAATCCATCAACATGCCTTGGCCTGCTCCTTCACTGTTCTCAATGCCAGTTCTGCAATCCTCCAACAACTATTACAAGGTTACACAATACGCTGCTTGAATCATAAATTATGTAGATTAATTTCATTATGGTATTCTTTCTACGTAATATTTTGTTTTTGGTTAAATAAAGGGTCGAAGGACATGTAGCAATATCACTGGCTTGGCTGTAATCATGTTCGTGATGTTGCTGCTGCACAAGTTTTGCTCTTGGAGACTCCAAGTGCCTCTGGAAGGCACTTGTGCACTAATGGGATATGTCAGTTCAAAGACTTTGCTGAAACCGTCAACTGTGTCTAGAGTACAATGTGCACAGATCAGTGATGATTCGGTGCGTATATGTCCTCGCCCGATATAATGGACTACCACAATGAATATTCCTTTGATAATGCAAACTCCAAGTGATTTATTCAACTGACTACTGAGTTTGTTTGTTTACTGGTTTACTGAAGAAACCCAGCCTGGACTAGTATCACGCAAAGACGCAGCAAAAAAGCTGATAAATCTTGGTCTAGTGTTCAGTCCAATAGAAGAGACAATCAAAGAAGCTGAGCCTAGCCTGAAAGCAAATGGTTTTCTTAGTTAGCCTAACTTGCAATCTTGTTGCTGCTGAGAATAATAGTGTTTACATATATGCTCATAAATTCTGTAAATGCTTTGATAACTTACTTCCCATTGTTGTGTCCATTTTTCCTATGTAAGCAAATTGGTCTTCCTAATGATAATAACTTTTTTTATTCACCTAATTCTTTGGTCTAAACTATACTTAATTGTAAATCATTCTTCATTGCATGACTAGTTTCAGTTATTTGACTATCTTATTACCATTTCATTACTTCCCTTAGGGCCTACTTGTTTTGTACAGAAATAATCATATGAAGTAGTTGAAGTAAAAGAATTAAAGCTATTTTTGAGGAAAAAAACATGTTTGTTTTTTTGGAAGCATTACTTCCTCTACTTCCTCCATGGAATGACTTCACACTGTACTTATGTACACAGGAGACGAGATTGGAGATGAGCTTGTACACTAATTGTGTTTCCAGGAAATTTACGGGATTACCAGTCCCGTGGATTTTATTTTGGCAAAATCCACAGGACTAGTAGTCTCGTTTACTGTATGCACGTTTTTGTGCACGTCTAGCAAATAAACCAATTCCTGTATGATGATTCTGCAAAATTCACAGGACTAATAGTCCCGTGAACTTTCAAGGTGTATTTTTGTGGCTTCATTTACAGTGGGTATGCTAATTTGGTAAATAATTTTCATAAAAGTCCCTCAACCTCTCAAATACTAATATTAGTCAGTCAACTAATAAATGCTTGCAGTTATTCCCTCAAATCCTTTAAAAATTTGTAAATTACGTCATCAACTTAAAATTAGTCTCTCAAATCTTTAGAGGTTTGGAATTACTCCCTTAATTGTCCATAATTAGTTGAAATTAGTCCTTAAATCTATAAACATTTTGCAAATTACTACATTAAATTTAAAACTAGTCCTCAAATCTTTAATCACTTTTAAATTTCCTCCCTTAAATGTTCATATTTTGAATTTAGTCCCTCAAACAGGTTCATAAAAACTTAAAATTAGTCTCTGAAATATTTAAAGATATGGAATTACTCCCTTAAATATTCATAATTAGTTGGAATTAGTCCCTCAAATCTTTAAACATTTTGCAAATTATTACCTTAAATTTAAAATTAATCTCTCAAATCGTTAAACATTTTAAAATTCCTCCCTCAAATGTTCATATTTTGGAATTAGTCCCTCAAATCGTGAGTATTCTCACCCAACTTATGATTGGCAATAAGTTTGTCCTATTTGGGTGGTAAGCACACCAAAGTGATCACAATCATGGTTTCTTTTTTTAAATTTGAACTAAATACTAGTAAATGAGGGAATATATTCACACATCAACTACTTTCTTCTCTTTTCAAATTGAACCAAACTAATGAAAGTGGTGGAAAGTAATTATTCACCATGTAAAGTAGGGATTATGATTGAAACATGATGAGTTGATTGCTCCATCTTTCCTAGAAATTCAAGTTCTTCATCAAAAAGCCTGATTTCTTCATTAATGACCTCCTCAGAACTCAGATCAGTAAGATCTGACTCACACTCCCCTTCTATATTCACTTGATATTCCTTGGATGTAATTCACTTCTAAGAGTTGATCTGATGGATACTAGTTTCTTGGATTGAAAATGTTGGGATTGCTAAGAATGGTCTACCCAGAATAATTAGGATTTGACCTTTAAGATTGGAAATGAGCTGCATTTTTAAGGCTATAACATCAACCAGAAAAAGAAACTCTCATGCCTTGATCAGAACATCCTCTTTCTCTCTATTGGATTTTTTTACAGATCTGTCAGTTAACTCAAGGGTACATCTAGTTGATTTCAATTCACTTACCCTGAGCTGTTGATAGACTTAATAGGGAAGAAGATTTATACTAATTCCTAAGTCTAAAAATGCTTTATCAATAAAGATAGTTCTTATGACACATGAGATAGTAGGACAACTAGGATGCTTATTTTTCAAAGGCATAGGCTTTGTAAGCATGTCACCGATATTGATAGATAGAAAAACTTTATTGAGAATATTGGTAATTCTTTTTTCCTGTAAAAATCCTTCAAAAAATTTGTATACGACGAGATTTCTTGGATAGTATCTAAGAGAGGAATATTAACCTTTACCTACTTAAAAGTTTTTAAAATTTTCTCTATCTGGAGAAAGTTTTTTTATGCATGAGTCTATCTGGAAAGGGAGCAATGGGCTTAAACCTAGTGAGATTGAGCTCAAGTTTACTTTTGGCTTCTTGGTCATTGACAGGGGGGTTATTGTTGAACATAGTTACCAGAAGGAGAGAGTTTATTCTATTTTAGCATTTTAAATAGGAGAAGAATAAAATAGAGTTTGATCCAAAGGAATTCTAAATTGATTATCTATCTATTTCTTTGACAGTACTTTATGGATTTCATTCACTTGAGCTGTGTAGATTTAACTTGATCCACTAGGATTTGCTACAGGTTAACTCAAAAAGTTTTCTTTCTTTTTCTCACTCACGACACTAGTTACTTGATCTAGTTGGATTTTTAACCTAGCTACAGCTTGAGTGTTAGAATGAGTAATAGACTGATTATCTATATGAATGAATTGAGAGTGTTGGATGACTGAGTCAACATATTAGTGGTCTGTGTAGAAGATTTGATCATGGCTTCTAAACTCTTTTCTAAGTCATTGAATCATCTCTCATGATAAAAAATCGATAGAGCAGGATTTACTAATTAATGAAGAGACTGGTTTGGATAAGGTAGATTTGATTGTGAAAAATTATTCTGGTTATTTAACGAAATTGTGTTTCTACTAGAAAATTATAGAGTTGAAGTGGGGGTAAAATTTTAACTTTTGGAGAAATTCCCTAATTTCATACAAATTTCGTATGATTTCTTCAACTAGGATTGTAGGCTGTAGAAAACTGATCATTTCCAGGATGATGAAATGCAACGTTCACCTGATTTAGTGGTTGATTGTTTTCTAAAAGAGGATATTCCTCAGAAACGTGGGCTTGAGATAAGCACTTATAACATCCTAAGGCAGGAACTTGATTGACTTGAGCTATAGCTTGTTCTTTGGTTTTCAGGACTTTAAGACTTTAACTAACACAAAATTATAGATATCTTAGCTTTAGAGGCTATATTTGACTCTAGAGAAAGACCACTAATTTGTTTACTCCTTCATCATAATGTTTCTATTGTATGATTTTCTTAAATAAATTATCTAAAAATTCTTAGGTTTTATTAGCATTTTTATTCATAAAATCCCTTTAACACATAGATTCTAAAGATGTCTTTGAAGAATAATCCAATTTTCATAGATGATTTGGCATAAACATCATTTCTTTAAACTACGATGAGGACATTAGATAAAAAATTCTTAAACCAGTCAAATACTTCAAGAATAGTTCCTTTAGAATTATATATCCTACAAGAGTGAATGTGGTTCCTAAGCTTTACCATTTTGTGGATTGAGAAGAATTTTTTTAGAAAAATAGTAATAAATTTGTCTCAGGTAAAGATAGAATTTGTGGGAAAATTATATAGCTATTTCTTAGCCTTGTCCTTAAGAGCAAAAATGACAAATTTGAGCTTAATTGCATCCTCAAATAACCCTCTAACCTTAATCATAAAATAAACTTTCTCAGACTTGGATACAAAAATATATGCATCTTTGGACTCAGTAAGTAAAAAATTAGGAAGTGTGTTGACGAAGTATGGTCTAAGCTCCTAATGGAAACTATTAATTTCGAGAAGTCTAATGCAAGATGGGAAGGGATTACATTTCTAGTAGGATATCACATACCATGAAGAACAGGTGGATTGGATTAGATCTTTATTTTCGTTTAAACATAGTTTCAACATAAATTAAGCGATTGGCTTTATCCCTAATCCAAACTTGCATGCGCTAGTAAAAGATATTTTTTAAGTTTTTTATTTATAAAACCTAAGAAAAGGATCTTATTTTTTTCTCTTTTTTAATAAGGGAAACTAGAACTGAAAGATCTAAAAGATTTTTAAAAATGAAAAGAATGAGAATCTAACTAAACAAATTAAAAAGCAATCACTTGAACAATCATTCCTAATTATAGAGTTAAGCCAAAACTCAATTAGACCAACTTCTAATTAAAAACTCTTTAGTGAAAAGATCCAAGTTTATTAATCAGTTAGCTAGGTAAGGACAGTACTAGAGCAAAGTTAAAGACCAATTAAGCACCTTTTTTTGTAGAGCACCTTACGCAACCCCTAAACTTTGCCTTAAACACTAACAAAATTAAATAAACTTAAATTAGTTCACTTAAAACTTATTTTCTATTAGGCTTGAATCCTTAAGGTCCAATATCTAATGAGTTTTAGAAGGCTTAGGATCGTGTAGTGAGGAATTAGTGATTTGTGGACAAAGAAAAGGGTGATGAAATACCTCACATTGTCTTAATTAATAATTTTTTCTTAAAAGTATTTTTAAGTGAGTGCTCAAACCAAAATGCTCAAATCACTTAGGTGAATTCCTACTAATTGTATGCACTACAACCCTAAGAATTAAAAGTGAGATGTAGAAAGAAAAATATTTTTTAATTAGGGCAAACAAATAAATAAATATGAGAGAGAGCTATTGTTTGGATTTATTATATTGGTTAATAGTTACTCAAGTGGAGAGTGAATTTTATTATGGTCAACAAGAGAAAATTTGGTTTTATTTTTTAACTATTAGTTACTAATTTTCTCTAATGTGAAAAGTCTAACAAGAAGGTTGAATTGAAAATACTAAAAAGAGAACTTACCTTTGTAAGGGGGTGTCACCTCTTAAAGTGAATCTTCTCTCAAGCATTCATTCTTCTTCTTCTAAGTTATTCCTTCATAATGAAACACACAAATCAAAGTACCAAAATAGAAAAGTCCTAATTACATGCACCTTTCCCGGTAACCACGCCAAAAACTTAATTTGGAATAAAAAATTCTATAGTTGAAAGTGCACTACAATTAAATTATAGTATTTATAGATATTGATCCATGGAGAAGGAAAGCATTAGAAAGACAATCCTATTTGGGTTCTTAAATTGTATATAAAACTAATAAAAATGTAAAGGAAAGTGGTGTGTATTTTGGGTAGGGGTTTGTCACAATGACAAAAGGCTAAAACAAGAGGGAGTAATGATAGAAAGAGAAGAACAAAATAATAGCA